ACCCGGAGCAGTTGGATGTGGCCCACCAGTAGCATGTCACCTTCTGCATGGCTGAAAGCATTTCAGGTTCCTTTACCCTGCTACCCCAGGACATCTCCGCAGGAATTCCTCCGGGTACTGTCCTAGGCCCAACCATCTTCAGCTGCTTCATCGATGACCTTTTGTCCATCATAAGTTCAGAAGTGGGGATGGTCCCTGATGATTGCAAAATATTCAGCACCATTCACGATCCCTCAGGTACTGCAGCAGTCCATGTTCAAAAGCAACATCTGGACAATCATCCAGGTTTGGACTGACAAGTTGATAATAATATTCACTCTGCTCAAATGCCAGGCAATGACTATCTCCCATAAGAGACAATCTAACCACTGCAACTTGACATTCAATGGTGGTACCATCACTGAATCCCCCACTATTGACATCCTCGGGGCTACCATTGACCAGAAGCTCAGCTGGACTCAGTATATTAATACAGTGTCTACAAGAGCAGGTCAAAGGCTAGGAATGCTGCGGTGAGTAACTCACTTCCTGACTACACAAAGCATGTCCATCCACAAGGCACAAGTCAGGAATGAGATGCAATATCGTCCACTTGCCTGGGCGAGTGCAGCTCCAACAATGAAGAAGTTTGACACCATCCAGGACAAAGTAGCCTGCTTAACTGTACCCCATTAGCAAACATCCATGCCCTCCAACACCGACGCGCAGTAGCAGCTGTATTATCTACAAGATACACTACAGAAATTCATCAAAGATCCTCAGACTGCACCATAATCACCATTCCTCACTGGGTCAAAATCCTGGAATTCCCTCCCTCAGGGCGTTGTGAGTCTACGTACAGCGCATGGACTGCAGTGGTTCAAGAAGGCAGCACCTTCTCAAGGGCAAATAGGAATGAGCAATAAATGCTGGCTCAGCCAGCATCGTCCTCATCCCATGAGTGAATGAAAAGAAAACGCTTTAAAACAAAAATTGCTTCCGCTCTAAATATAGAAACAGCTCCTAAAGAGCTTCAGGTTTTTCTCAGCTAATAATTGAAGCAAAAATATTATATTGACAGGTCAGGATAATTTGATTCAGGTACATTTTAAACAGTTGATGGCACACATTTTAGATTAACTCCGACAGGCTTCAGTCTCCAGCCATGAAAGCAAATAATGAAGGTGAAATACTCTCCTAGATGATATAAGTACAATACTGAACTTTATGATATTCTTCTAAATTTGCAGAACTGTGAATTATCTGCCGCATTTAATCAATATTTGTTCTGGATATGTCAATAACTTGTCTTGATGTTGTGTGGTAGCCCAGTGGCAATGGTGCTGAATAAGTAATACAGTCATTTGTTTGAATTCCTCTGTGGAAATTTGTGAAGTTAATACATCGGGTAATTTGTAGGTAAACACGTTTGTGCTTGTCATAACATTCCATAATAGTTTGCTCATATTTATCAAGGAAAAGAACCTGACCCCAAATCCCCCTGCTTGATCTAGCCTATGCATGACTGAAATCCTACACAAGTGATTGAACCTTTATAGTCATAGAGATCTACAGCCCAGAAAAAAGGCCCTTTGGACCATCGGGTTCACGCCAGTCACAAACAACCACCTAACTATTCTAATCCTATTTTCCATCACTTGACCCATAGCTTTATATGCCTTGGCATCTAAATGCCTCTTAAATATTGTGAGAGTTTCTGCTTCTACCACCCTTACAGGCAGTGAGTTCCAGATTCACACCACTGTCTGGAGATTTTTTTTTTCCTCACCTCTCCTCTAAACCTTCTGCCCTTCCATCAAGGGAAAAAAGTTTCTTTCTTTCTACACCGTCTGTACCCCTCATAGTTTTACACAGTTCAGTCACGTCCCCTCTCAATATGCTGTGCTCTAAGGAAAACGACCCCAGCTGTCCAATCTCTTTTTGTAACTGAAACTTTCCAGCCCCAGCAACGTCCTGGTAAGTCTCTGCTGCACCCTCTCCAGTGCAATCCCCTCTCTCCTATAATGTAAATTCCAGAACTGTCCACAATACTCTAGCTGTGGCCTAACCAATTTTTTGTACAGTTCCGACATAACCTCCCTGCTGTTAACTCTACGTCTTGTCTAATAAAGGCATCTATCTGATATATCTTCTTAACCACTCTATCCACCCATCCTGATACCTTATGGGACTGGTGTATAGGCTGACCAAGGTCCCTCTGATCCTTGGTGCTTCCCAGTGTTCTACCATTCATTATTATTCTCTTGCCTTGTTTGTCCAGCCCAACTTTACTTGTATCCGGATTGAATTCCATTTGCCACTGAGCTGGCTATCTGACCAGCCCATCTATATCCTCCTGTAGCCTAAGTGTATCCTCCTCATTGTTTACTACCCCACCAATTTTTGTATCATCTGTGAACTTAACTGATCAATGGTATGGTGGCTCAGTGGTTAGCACTTCTGACTCACAGCGCCAGGGACCTGGGTTCAATTCCACCCTTGGGTGACTGTGTGGAGTTTGCACATTCTCCCCATGTCGGCATGGATTTCCACCAGGTGCTCTGGTTTCCTACCACAGTCAAAAGATATGCAGGTTAGTGGATTGGCCATGCTAAATTGCCCATAGTGTTCAGGGATGTGCAGGCTAGGTGGTTTAGCCATGGGATATACAGGTATAGGGTAGGGGGATGGGACTGAGTGGGCTGCTCTTCAGAGGCGTGGCCACTGTGGACTCTATGGGCCAAATGGCCTGTTTCCACACTGTATGGGTTCTATGGTAACCTACATTCAAGACTAAATCATTTATATAAACCACAAACAACAAGGACTCCAACACTGACCCCTGTGAGACCAGACTGGACACAGACTTCCAGTCAGAAAAGCACCAACAGGATTTCTGATTTATATATTTTAAATCTTACTCCTTCTAAAATCCCCTCATGCACACATGTGCATGCACACCCACACAAAGAAAAACAAACATGAGTTTTATGATTGGAGGGAAAAGCAAGTAGTCAGAAAAGCACAGTTCCATACCACCAATGAAAAACAACAAACCTAGATGCATTGGTTCCATATCCCTTTTCCTTTCTTCAATGATGCTTCAATGTTACTTGTACAGCGATGATCAATCTTTAGTTCACTTTGCTTAGTTAGACCCAGGGTCATTTTTTGTTTCCTGTGAGCTTTAATTTTTTACTTTCAGCAAGTATGAATGCAGCTTTTCCTACTCTTTGGATGGAGAATTGGAGAAAATAATTTTTCAGCGCAGCGGAACAGAGCGAGAGAGAGAGAAAGAAGTGGTGATCCTACAATCTGCTGGGTCTCCTGTCTTCTCTGTTTTCATTCCCCCCCAACAGGGTCTGTGTTAAACTGCAACCTGACCAATCAAAGGTTGTTCCTACTCTTTTAAATTGAATGTAAAGCTTCCGTTACAATGTTCCCATCAAACATTTCTAGGACAGGTACAGCATGAATGTAGTACAGCTCTCTCTACTCTATTAAACAGAAAGAAAATAAGTTAAACAGCCTCTGCTGGGGCACTACAACAAAAAGAAAACCTTAAGTTAACAGTTTAGTGGATTATTTAACAAAACAGAAATTTAGTAAATTAAAATAACATTTTGTGGGGTGATGATGCATCCCAGCCCCTGTCGTGCTCACCAGCCTCTGACGACCTCTATTATACCGGTGAGCACCCCTTGCTCCCTCTTCAGGAACACCCGAGTGCAGCTAGTTGTTTCTATCCGCTGAGCTCTCCTGAACCCACACTAACTAGTGCCAATTGAAAAGCCAATCAAAAGATCTGTCTATGGACAGAGGTTGCCCTGAAGGCACTGAGGAAGCCCCAATTCCTCTAAGTGTAGTATCCCCAAAAGTAACAATGTTTAGAAAACTACAAACAGATCCTCGTGTCACCCCCACCTTTTTTAAAATATATCAATTTTTCTGATTTTCAGCCTCCACTCCAAAACAAAATAAAAGATGTGTTTTCTTGCACAGTGTTCTGTCACCCCCTTTTCCAAGATTTCAGCATTCTTGTATTCTTACAACTCTGTCCTCTTAATCATCTGCCAAATTCTTTATCCTTGTTGTCGGCTTCAGTATGTGCAGTCATAGGCCCCAAAACTCTGGAGCTCCTTCTCCTTATCTCTCTCCCTCTCTATCTATTTCTCCAAGCCCCTTCCCTCCTCAAAGAAGCTTTAAACCCACTATTTTGTTCACCTGTCCAAAAATCTCCTCCAAAGTTAGTGTCAGTCTTTATTTGATCACTCTTTGGTGGCCTGCTTTGGGATGTCCTACTGTGTGAAAGGTGCTATATAAATGGAAAATTTTAAAGCCCAAAGGGATCTTACTGAAACTTGAAACTTGACACCTCAGGCTATGTAGCAGCCCTTTAGCAGTTGCACTGAAATTTCTGCCTGCTCTTTAACTCACAGCCTTCTGAACCAGAAGTGCTGTCAGCTGAGCCAAGGCTGACACACATGCACATTATGTGAATTTGTGCTTTCACTGGAGAGATTCACCTGTCAAGCTGATTTCAAAAATTCAGGGCTAGAAGGCAAATTTATTTTTGTGCCAAAGTTCCAGATATATATCCCTGGCATGAGAAGCTCAATATTAAGAGTACCTTTTGGAAATTCAGGTATGAAGTTAATCGCTTTTACACAGCAAGAAACATGTTCGTTGCATACATGTTTTGTTTCTTTCAATACTGGAGAAGCAACATCAAGTATACCCTTGAGTTACTCGTCCATTTTCCATGACACTTACAGTCTAAGTCTTCGTTTTCACATGTTGAAGCTTATTCTGAAGACTGTTTTTGAGCTGTCAACATTATTGGTCATATGGCTTTCTAGAAGACACTATTGATGCTTGTTTATATTTAAACCACACCAAACAAATAATTAAGCAATGTGCGAGAGATATGTCCATGCTGTGAAGGTGGTATGTGAATGCAAACTGCTGTTACTGGCTTCTGAGACAACCGTTCAACAGAACTGGCTTTTCTTTCTTTCCAGTGACCCCTATCATAATATCGCTGCGTTGGATCCAGAAAAGCTGAATGTCTTCCGTACAGTCCGAGAGATAACAGGTAGTGAAATCAGGGCAAGCTTCTTCTGCTCTTACATCTAAATAATTAACATCTTACTTTACAGTCTTTCGAAAGCAATTTGTGTCACAATGAATCTCCTATTACTAGAAGGAAAGAATTACCTTTTCATTGGTGATCTCACAGTTTATCTCACCCTGCCTCACAATCCTACTGATGTGTTTAATTCAGCCTATCAGTACTAACCACGTCTAAGTCCTTCCGCAGTAACTCTCTTTCTACTTGGGCAAAAGTAAACTTTGTTCGACATTCCTTTTTTCACCTAACTTCCCACATATTTCACTTAGTGTCCCTAGATATTTGAGTCTTTCATCTTGCCTTTGTCTTTAATTGTAGGTTATGATCAGTCATACCCTGAATCAGATTTTTGTTTCAGTCGCTTTCAATATAAAGCTAATGCTCACAGGAAGTACCCTGTCTGAGGGATATTCTCTGGCAATAGCTCTCAAAGTGTACTTTACAAACCCCCAAAGTACAACCCACTGATGTACAACACAGGAACCAAGTCCACATAAAAGAACAGGCCAGGACACCTACCCCTACTACAATCATGATGCCACACAACCAGACTGATTGCCATTTGCAAATTGTCGTGAGTGTGAAAACCATAATGGAGTTTCATAAGCCATCTTTATGTTACTGTTATCACACACAGCTCTTGCAGCTCAGTGGATAATGTCCCTTCGTCAGAGTGGGGTGCTGCAGGTTCAGGTACCACATGAAGCCTGACATGAGACTAATGTTCTCCAGCTTGGAACCTCATTTGATATCTCATCAAAAACAGATCCTGTTCTTCCCCTTCTGATGAGCTTTTCTGTGGCTGTGTGGGTGGTCCATGGGTCTCCGTAGAGAAAATGTTTACGAATCACTGTGTTGTAACTGCCCTTGAAGGCAGAGAAACAGAGGGCAATGGGGAAAGTAAAGGGGTTGGGACTAATTGGATGGATCTTACACAGAACAAGCACAACTCTGTGAGCTGAGCAAGCTCCTTATGTGCTGTATCATTCCATGGTCTATGACTATTTTCTCCACTTCAGTAACTGCATGGGAACTCATTTCGTTTTATTTATCTTCTTAAGAACACCATTACATGAATATGGAGGATACAGTCAGAATGCAATGTGACACACCAGTCAGTCGTACATGGCAGTGCAAATGAACTGGAACTTACTTTTTCCAACTCCTGCTACAGAAGTGCTTTTTTGTTGCGCATATTCATGGACGATGTTATTATTCACTTACCCATTTATATTTCAAGACATCTTTGGCACCACTGAATGGTGTGAAGTTGCAGTGTAACCAAGTATTCACTGACTTCTGTTCCTTTACCATTTCAGCTCTGTGGCTGCATAATAACCAGAATAGCTTTAAGACCAAGTATTTACAAGAAGTGATATTTGGGAGTGGGCAGTCTTAGAAGAGTAAAACTTTCATTGGTACTATACAGGATACTTAAGTACTGGATTGGACACTCTTCTGAACAACCCATGTATTAACTACAACAGAATACTCAGAGTTCTTGATTTTGTTTTTTGGGATTTTTTGCTTTCACTAGGTTTTTTGAATATTCAGTCATGGCCAAGAAATATGACTGACTTCAACGTGTTTGCTAACCTGGTGACAATAGGTGGTCGAAGTCTTTACAGGTAAGCTGGACCACCGGTAATCATTATCTATATGCAACCTGTTTCTTTCGTTCATGAAAGCACTGGGCTAGTGGTTACAATTCTGGATTAGGAATCCAGAGGCATGCTCAAATCCCACCTTGGCTCATTGTGAAGTTGAATTCAATAAATGTAGTCATCTGTGGTAGACGAGTATGAAAGCTGTGTGATTGTCATTAAAAAAAAAGGACACTTGTCATTCCGACCCAAAGGTGATCCAGCTCTTTACTATTCAGTATACGCAGGACAACTAGAGCTGAGTAACAAGTGCTGCCTTGCTGATGTTGCACCATATCCCAGGAAAAAAAAACCTGTAAAAGCTCTCAGAGCTATTATTAAGTAGAGCTATTTCCTGGTTAGCTATTTACTGTTTTCTCTCTTCATGCCGTTGTAGCAGTCCCACATCATGCTTATTGCATAATTAGATGAGACATATTAGTAACAATGTTAACCAAGCTAGAAGCTGCACATTTATGTCCTAGTCCCAGAAACTCCAACATAAAATCTAGGCTGAGATTCCGATAGTGCACCTTGTGGTGTGTTATCTTTCAGCTGAATTGTTCAACTGAAACCCAGTCTGCCCTGTCATCTGAACATAAAAATTCCATAGCTGTACTTGAAGAGCAGGAAGGTTCTCCTGGGAGTTACTGGATGGAACCTGTCCAAGCATGAACGTAACAAAGACAGATTGTCGTATTGATCTTCTTGGACCTTGCAGGGTCAAAACTCGGTTACCTACACCTCATTAGCCATAAAACTGCTTTGTGTCATGCAGAGAGCATAGAAGGTATTATTTGACGAGTTGTTTATTTTGCAAATCTTCCCCCTTTCCCCACCCCACCAACCCCGCCACTATCAGCATCAGCATTCCCAGTTATGATGTAGTGTGGACCTTCCTCACAAATGCATCGACACCACACTTGAGTCCAGAGCTGAGAACATTAAGGAGGCCACAAACCATTGTGGTTTGTGATGGACTAATTTCCAGATGAGCAAACAGAGCCGAGCCACAGTGAATACTGAATCATTTTGCTTTAAGTGGTGCTCCAAGAGCATCAATTTTGCAATGGGCCCTCCTTGACACTCTATTTTTTGTGTATCTAGTTCCAATGAAACTTTGGGGTTAATCCTGGTAAGATCTTTCACACTGGGACAGCTGTTGCCCGAGTGAGCCATTACACGATTATTGTAACATTTAGTGATTTCTCAGGCTCATGGACCTCAGGAAATCATCCATGGATTGAAAGGAGTAAATGCAGAGGGAGTAAATCGAGGCTTATTTGATTGGTTGGTTGTTTTCTTTTCAACTCAATATAATGTAGGAAGAAAAGAAGACATGTATGGGGAGGAGGGAGCAGTGGGAGGGTGGTGGTCTTGGGTTCCACGTTTGTAATTTTCTAGGGAAGAGTGAGTTAGAGTCAAATGTGGTGCAGTGGCCCTTCATCTCTATCAAAGTGCAGTTGTTGGGGACAAAGCCCACATTGGTTGTACTTTTTGCACCGTGGGAGAAATAAGATCTTGAAACTCAAGGGAAACAAACTAGTATGGCAATAAAATAGAGGATAATTTTCTAACAATCTAAGGGCTAATGGATCAATATAAACAATAAAAGTCTAATGTTCGTGCATACCTGCTGACAGCTTATCTATTCAAAATCTCAATGTCTGTGCTTAACAATAAAAGTTGCCTATGTAAATGTGTCATGTTGTAATTACAGTCTCTTACCAATGGAGGCACTCATTTCTTGTGAGCAATATCACAAAGGGTCAACTGGTCACCTGTTGTAATTATGTGCATGGTCCAGGACAAATTACAGAGCTAAATAAAAATCCTGCAGTCCCATTCATTTACAGCTAGTGGGGAGCATGAACACTCGCTGATAAATGTCCAATATTTAAAAGAATGATATTTTAATCCACCCCTTCCCAAACCCCTCAAAATACTGAAATTACTCTGTGTAATATTAGGCTTTGAACATTCCAAACATTTTTTTATTTAATGGGTTAACTGTGGAGAGGAGAATTACAAAGATGCACGTTAAGCATTTGTCAGGCAAGGCCCTAAAATTGTGATTCCTGGGCAACACTAATCATTTGAGGACAAGGAGAAAAATACTGACAGGCTTTCCATATGTTACCTTTCATTTTCAGCTTTTCTTAATGGAAGGGTACCTGTAAGCTATCAGGGTCAGGCAAAGCAATAAACAAACCTTTAGCTCCAAGGGATCACTTGACAGTCATATTCTAAAGGTTCCATGTCATCCTGCCAGTTGCTTCAAGCAGCTAATTACAAGTTAGTAAGCTGGCCAGCAGAATGAGCTCATTACATTGCCCCAACACACATCCACCCCGTAGAACTCCGTCTGATGTCAAACTGACATGCTGCCTTTTGGAAATGCCCTGAGCTGTTACACGCTGTTAAAATAATGATGCAGACAGCCGCTGACGAGGTGGGATGGGATGGCTGCAAGCCTCCACGCAATATGTATTTTCTTTTGCAATTCAGATAATTACAGTACTTGCTTTAATTGCAGGGCTTTTTTAGCATTTCTCAAAGGAATACAGGCAAGATCACACCATGTACATCCAGCTTTGCGTCTCAATTATTCACCATGGGCTTGTAGATCCTGTGGTTACATACAAGCAATGTCATATGTACTGGTAGGAGTGAAATGCTTTCTCTTGACAGGACTTCCTACCACAACCAGATCCCTTCACACAAAAAGAAAACAAAAGAATACACACCAATACTATGTTACTTCAGGCAGCAGCTCCCAAGTTGCAAGACCCCCTCCAAGTCACACATCATCTCAACTTAGAACAATATTGCCATTCCTTCAATGTAGTTGGGGCCTGAAATGGGCTACCTGACATCACAGTATGAGTACCTGCACCAAATGGATGGCATCAGTTCAAAAAGAAGCTCCTGCACCGATTTCTCCAACTAATTAGGGTTGGGCAATAATTGATGGCCTTTCCAGCAATGTGCACATCACGAGAATAAATAAGAATAAATAAGGGTTGATGATGATCATTTCTGGGATCTGGATTCAAAATAATCCAAGACACATGGAATGGACAACTTCTCGGGTGTAAGGTTTATGTGTGGAATCACTATTACTAACACTTGATTAAGTGTTTGAGGATATGTGAAAGTGTGGAAGAGGATATAGTTTTGTCCGGTGCCTGGGTGTCAAAGATGCCCCTGACTTATGGTGGATTGGAACACTCAGTCATCCTGGTGTAAGAGTAATATTGACAGAGTAATATTGACATAGCTAATTTCGGAGACTGGAGCTGAGAGATTTTGGGGCAAAGCAAGCATCAGCCGATGCTGACACTGATAGCTCAAAACGTATGGTGTTGCATTAAAATTTCTCACATTGAAAAAGGACCATGTTTACAACAAAGGGGAACGGAGGTTGAGACATTATGGTGCAGACAGAATTTCTGCCGACAGCAGACTGATTTTCTGACGGTATGCCAATTTGGATTCTAGCCAGTGACATAGAAGCCAAGACACTTGCTTTGTGGATATAGTTTTTTTTGACTACTCAGTCTTACAGCTTCTTTCGTACACCACCCCATCTATCTGACTTGTTTATTTTTAAAATAAACCCACCGCCAGTTAACCCAGTTAACAAATTAAAGCAATTTACTGCTCACCAGGCTCAGTGCAACAATGAGACAGTTAAAGGGAGGGTAGGAAGTGAGGGAGGGGGCCAAATTACAATGGAGTTAGGGGAGGGGAAGAATGAATCCCAGTTCCCGCGTGCCCACTTCTATTCCCTTTTTTAGAATCAACCCAGTCAATTAATTCAATCAATTAACCCCCAATAACCTGCTTGATGAATTGCTACATTAATGGGCATTCAGCTGGACCCACTGTCTGCATCGACTAAGCAGTTGTAGGCAAGAGATAGTAAAGTGCCCTCAGCACTTTCCGATAGGCATCACCTTCTTCTGAAATTGCCGGTCACAATTTGGGAAGTGGTGCAATGTGAGCTTTGTAATGTGTGACTCCTGTGTGTTCTAATGCACAAGGTGTATGTTTTCTCCCCTTGTACAGTGGGATCTCACTACTGATTCTGAAGCAACAGTGGATAACGTCGCTTCACTTCCAGTCCCTGGTGGAAATCAGCGCAGGCAATGTGTATGTGTCTGACAACCCCAACCTGTGCTATTATCACACAGTCAACTGGACCGTGCTCTTCAGAACCAGTTTGCAGAAACCTGTTATAAAGAACAACAGAAATTCACAGAATTGCAGTAAGTAGCATGGCTTAGGGAAAAAGCATTCGGAGCAAATAGTTTCAACAGAACCAACTCAAATGGAAATTTACAGAATTGGGAGCAAATATAACTGTTTCACCCTGCCTAATTTTAATAATTGCAGAGTAATATTGGGTGAGGTATGATTCTGATCCTGTGAGATTTCTGGCCTTTGAGATATGTTAAAGTTAATCCTGCTGTTCTTCTGCTTTATCATTTTATATTAGATATATTAGATCTTCTAAATATCTTTTGATGGGTTATAAAAATGCAGGGTTGAGGGTTACGAGCGTTGCAGCTTAAAAGAGGTTTGTTCTGAAAATGGAGTGAGAAACAAGGACAGGAGCACATTTCCATTTCCACAGTGGGATCTGGTACAGAAGCCAGTTGGACAACAGTACATAAAAACCAAAAGAACTGCGAATGCTGTAAATCAGGAACAAAAACCAAGTTGCTGGAAAAGCTCAGGAGGTCTGGCAGCAAAACAGACCCTTCTGAGTTGGGTCACCGGACCCGAAACGTTAACTCTGTTTTCTCCTTCACAGATGCTGCCAGACCTGCTGAGCTTTTCCAGCAACTTTGTTTGTGTTGACAACAGTACATGCTGGGAGTGCTTGTAGCTCATGTAGAATCCGTGGAAAGAAACAATATTGATGGGTGGAATCTTCTGAACTTAGCTGCTGTCTCGTGCACTGTGCACAAAAGCCCACTCTCACTCTTACAAGGAAAGTACTGGCTGGATCTCGTACGCATCAGGCACTGAACAGGGCGCCAGCGAAGAGGGCCTTCCTGCTGCCGGTGTCCAAACCGGCTGGAACTGTTGACCAATGAGAGATCGTCTACGTTGGCATTCGGCCCTCCCATGGCACAGGTACAAACCCCGCCCCCTGTCCGCCCTTCTCCCCACTGTCCCAGGACCAAGGAGTGACCCAAGGACAAAGGGGAGGTCTTTGCAGTTGTTATGGTGAGAGAGGAGCCCAAACTCTGATCAGACTCTCAGCAGTTCTTCTTCTTGACCCGCTCCGTGGCTGTGCCCTTGATCATACAGAAAATAATTTCATATCGAGGGCCTTTCCTTCTGACTGACACATGGCCCACAGCTGAGCCGCCTGTCAGTTGTCCCACCAGGAGCTGAGAAACTTTTGGCCCTGAAGAGAAGATTCTTTGTGGTGGTCTTTAACTGGCCAGTTAAAGATATTTAAGTGGAGGTGAGTTTGGGGATGTCATCCTGAGCCTTCTCGTCTGGAACATTCTAGTGTGTGGACGGGAAGGTGATGGTTACCAGTCCTGACTGCTGCTCACCTCAATTTTCCAGACCTCCTGTGGGCCCGGAAGATTCAACCCAACATTCAATCAGATGAACTGTGAACTCCATCCCATCCTCAACAGATGCTGCCTGAATAGCTGAATATTTCCAGCAATTTATATATTTTTTTCAACCCTCCAGCATCTGCAGAATTACGCTCTTGTGGAATGTGGAGCTGTTTGGCAACAGATCCTGTGTGGACAGTCTTGGGTTTTGATGGTGTTGGCTGAGCAAAATCTGGTCACCTTAGAGCTTTGGCTTATCAGTGGACAACAGACCTTCATTGGGCAGCATGGTGACTCAGTGGTTAGCACTGCTGCCTCACAGTGCCAGGGACCTGGGTTTGATTCTACTCTCAGGCGACCGTCTGTGTGGAGTTTGTACTTTCTCCCTGTGTCTGTGCTCCAGTTTCCTCCTACAGTCCAAAGATCTGCAGGCTAGGTGGAGTGCCCATAGTGTTCAGGGATGTGTAGATTAGAGGGATGGGTCTGGGTGGGATGCTGTGAGTGTTGATGTGGACTTGGGCTGAAGGGCCTGTTTTCACACTATAGGGATTATATGATGATAACTTTAAATTATTAAATGGCCAGTCAAACAGAGCCACATTAGGCATGAGCTGTGCCATTGTTTGCAGCTGGAAGACTTTGTTTGTGATTAACTGGCTTGAAATGGTCTATTTCTATAGAAGTTACTGCTGCACTCAGATTTTTATTATTTTCATGGAACATGAAGCAAGAGGAAATTGATGTCAAGAATGTATTTTATTCCTTCGTGCATTTATGAAAAGTAAACCAGTTTGTTGGTTAACTGTTGTGCATTTTTTATCCATTTATCGGGAAGTTAAGTGATCCCACATGAAGTTGCACGTAGAGCTCAATGTTTTCCTGGTAACAATGCTCTTTCATGGACAGTAATGTTCACTCTGGGTCATGGGGAATGCATGGATCTCTTGCAGGAGTGACAGAGTCACTGAATACAAACATGTAGTCGTTGTGTAAAACAGCCAAATTAGTAACAGCATACTTGGTAAATTTAATTGACATCTTGTATATCTTGTGACTTGATGTTTGGGGCTAATATATTATCATGGATAGAGGATTGGCTAACTCATGGAAGATGGAGAGTTGGGATAACAGCGTTTTCAGGATGAAAATCTGTAAATAGTGGTGTGCCACTGGAGTCAGTGTTGGGGTCACAATTATTTACAGTAAACATTCATGACTTGGATGAGGGAATTAAATGCATTTTAGCCAAGTTTGTGGCTGACACAAACACAGGTGGGAAGGCAAGTGGTGAGGATAACACAGAACCTGCAGTTGGATAAAAATTTGGCAGATGAAATATAATATTGGGAAATGTGAGGTCGTACACTTTGGCAGGAAGACTAGAGGAGCAGAATATCATTTAAATGGAGCAAGACTGCAGGAAGTTACAACACAGACCGGTTGGATGTCAATCTATAAATCCTTCCGATCTGCTTATGGCAGGCAGTAAACCTGGTGAGCCAGAACCATATGTTGCTGCAGTGAACAGCCTCCCTACATTAGAAGACTCCATTTGCAAGTTATTGTCATAAGCAAGTGTCAGTTTTGTTTAAAAGGATGACCACACACAACAGGAGACAGTACTTAGCAGCTGAAATAGAATAGAATATAATTGGTGATTATATTTCTGTGCAATGCGGTGACATATCTTTAATCAGTACAGAAACAGGCCATTCAACCCAATTAATCTGCCAAGGTTGTTGTCCTGTTTTATCTTCCTTATCTCAACGTATCATTCTATACCCTTTATCCTCATCAACTAATTTCATTTCGGAAACGTGTAAGTTTTTTTTTGTTTCATCCACTTTCTCACTCTTTAATCTCTGTGTAAAGGTGTTTTTTTTAACCATCGGCTTTATAAATGACAATCTAATATTTATAGCCTGTCATCAAAGCAAAACACTGCAGACTCTGGAAGTGTGAAATAAAAATTCAGAGTCATTCTGGACCTGAAACTGTTTCTGTCCTCTCAGATGCTGCCAGACCTGCTGAATTTCTCCAGCACTTATTTTGTACATATAGTCCTCAGTTTTGGCTCCTCCCACACTTGGGAAGCATTCTCTCCAGAACTGCCCATTTGTTCTTTTCAAAGCATGTCTCAAGCCCTCTCAAAGTTCCACCCTTCTGAAGAAAATAGTGCAAACCATGGACTGCAGGCATTCCGTCCTTGCATATAGTGTTGCTGCCCGAGTGCTTCTGTGGCAGTGGGTCATGAGAGTGGGTGTATTGGATAAAGAATGGCTGGAAGTTGGGGGCAAGTCATGTGCTGAAACCTCCAGAAATACATTCAATCAGAGTTGGCAACTCTAAGTCCACATCTTCTGCATATTGGAGGTAGAATGGATCTTTAGCATTGATGCAGTTGAAGTATGGAAGAAGGCACAGCATGTCTTTCTTTTGTTGAAGTGGCCCTAGGCAGGTCACGTAATCTTGTGATGCAGTGTTAGTTGCCCAGTCTCTTGACCAGGAGTCCCAGGTGCAAGTCCCACATGCTCCAGAAGTGTGTAACAAAATCTCTGAACAGTTGATAAGAAAAAATATCTAATTCTTTGCTTACTGGTGATTAAATAGTTGGCTGTCATGACTGGTGTAACTAGGCAGATTTACTGAGTGAGATTTTTGTTACTTTCACAGCCTCTGACAGGATGATGTGTGACCCTTTGTGCTCCGATGATGGGTGCTGGGGTCCAGGCCCAAACCAGTGCCTGTCTTGCAGATTCTTCCGTAGAGGCAGGACTTGCATCGAATCTTGCAACTTGTACGAAGGGTAAGTCTGAAAAAACACACACACAATTTTCCTGATTCAGTTGTTCAGTTCATCGAGCTAGCGTGTAACTGAAAAATTAAAAAGAAAGGACTTGTATCTGCTTGAAGAACTCAGTAACAACTTGTACTGGTACAAATATTTGTAATAAAATACCCCAAGGCACTTCACAGATCCCTCACAAAACAAACTATGACACCGGGCCACATAAGGTCAGATGACCAAAGCCTTGATCAACAAGGGAGTTTTTAACAAGTGTCTGAAAGGGGGAATACAACTGATAGTTTAGAGAAGGGATTCCAGAGCTTTCAATTTATATAGTGAAAGACACAGCCATCAATGGTGGAGCAATTAAACTCATGGCTTCTTGCGAATCTAGAATTAGAGCAATGCAGAGGTCTTACAGTATGGTAGAGCTTGAGGAGATTGACAGATAAAGGAATAATGAGAATTTTAAGACTGAGTTGTTGTTTAACTGGAAACCAATGTAGTGGGGCAAGCACAAGGGAAGAGAATTGGAGCAAGTTAGAATTCAGGCATCAGAATAGTTAGCACAAGAAAGGAGCACCAGATGTGACCCTGGTTATCAGGAACATAAATTCTGAGGAAACTTTCTGAAATAAGGTTTGTTGACTTTGGGAACCAAAAGAAATGAGCTGATTGATATTTGCAAAATTGCAAAGGAGATTTACACAAATTGATGAGGGTTAACACCTTTTTGGTCAGGTTTAGGATACAGACAGCAGAGTTTTGGATGATCTCAAGATATCAGAATGTGGGAGGTTGCCTGGGAGTGAGTTAGTACATTCACATCTAGATGAAACAAAGACATGAACATGGATTTCAGCAGCTGCAGAGCTGATGTGTTTGCAAAGAGCATGATATTGTTCAGGTGCCTTGTTGCACTTACTGCTATGACAAGAGCTCACAGACACTGCTATGTCCCACAGTGATTTTCAGTCTCCTGAGCTAGTTGCACACTCCCCATTTTGTCTTTATAAAAGATGCTGATAATACCAGGCAAAGGATGTGTTCCACACCTGACTCATTGATAACAGCTATTGTAAGATAGCAACATAATTTCTCGGCTGGAAGAATGGGACCATTTTGTTAGACCTTTGCTGGAATATTGTGAACAGTTGTGGGAGCCACATTACAGCAAAGATGTGAATGCACTGGAGAGAGTGCAGAAGCAATTTACAGGAATTGTTCCAGGAGTGAGGAACTTCTCTTATGAGGATAGATTGAAGAAGTTGGGATTGTTCTACTTGGAGAGAAGGTTGAGAGGAGATTTGAGAGAGGTTTGCAAAATCATGAGTGGGCTGGATAGAGTAGATAAGGAAAAGATATTCCCACTCATTAAAGGAACACGAACGAGAGGGTATAAATTTAAAGTGATGTCCTAAAAAAGCAAGGGTGATATGAGAGAAACTTTTTGACTCAACATGTAGTTAGGGTATGGAATTCAGAGCCTGGAAATGCGGTGAGGCAGGTTCAGTTGAGGCATTCAAGAGGGCATTGGATGATTATTTGGATAAGAATGATGTGCAGGGATATGGGGAAAAGACAGGAGATGGCACTAGGGGATAGAAACAGTGCAGGCATGATAGGGTGAATGACCTGTTTCTGCACCGTAACAATTTTGTGATTCTGGTAGACAGCAGTTCCTGGAAAATGATAGTGCCTGGATTTGAAGAAATGTAGTCATTCTTAGCATACTGGCTTGTCATAGTCCTGCAACCTCTCCTACTGATGTAAGTACCTTTATATGCAGTGGGCACTCAACTCAAGGAATCATACAATAGAAAATGCATGGGTTATTGGAGCTCTGAGAGGGCCATTAGAAGAAACAGCAAGGAAAAGGTTAAAATAATAGCAGACTCCAGTTTTGAATGACTGGGCGAGTGAAAGTGGCTTTACATTTTCCACTCCCTGTTGCTGTGGAAATTAAGGGAGACATGAAAAAATTGGAAGTTTTTCCACTGTCTGTGGCTGAAATATGAAATGGCTATAGAATTAATTTTTAAGTCTTGGGCAAATAAAAGTAGCATCCCTGCTGTCAGTGCTGGGGAAAGGAGTCCACATTTCACTGAAGAGCGGAAAAGCTAGACAGGAGAGATGTTGAGGTCTTTGAAGACATACTTTGAACACATTGTTGTTATTTATGAATGGCATTTTTTCAATGTCAGAACTCATTGGGAGAGGAAGACTGTTGATCAATAAGTAACCATACTGGTACATCTAGCTGAATACAGTAAGTTTAGATAACTGAAGGGTGATCTTCTTAGAGATAGGATTAGCTTAGACATAAGATATCCTGCTGTAAGAGCACACCTGTTGAGAGAGGAGAAACTTACTTTCAAGAAAGATAATGACATGTGCAGAAGCTTGAGTTTGTTAATCATCAGCTTGAGTGCATTAATAGGAAACAGAAAAGGTTTTACATTATGTGAAGAGACATTCCAGGCTGAATGAGAGCAACAGATTGAGAAAAGAAAGGAATATTTGCAAACAAGCCAGCTGAATGATCAAGGGCAGAAATTGAATATAAATATCACAAGAGAACAGGGGCTTGTGCAGAACAAGGAAAGTGGGGCTCTAACTGCAAGAAGTGGAATCACTTTGCACACTGGTGTTTAGCTAGTAAGGTGCCAAAGTAGAGTTTATAAAGATGTCAGCCAGTGAGTCTGCAAAATCATTTAACACCATACAAACATGTTGGCGTTGTCAAATCTGGGGGTGACAAATAGTTTGTGACTGCTAGGATGGCAACTGAAGCAGAACATCATGTCAAAGTGAAGTGTCAGATAGACACCAGTGCTTCATGCCACATTATCAAGCTTCACAGAACTTCAAAGTCTTTCAAAATAGTGATTCAAAATGGAAGCCCTCAAAAGTAAGGTTGAGACTACATGGTAGATCATTCCTTATGCCAAGAGGACAGCTGAAGCTGGGAGCTCAATGCAATGGGTAGAATGAAGATGTGGAGTTCCTAATAGTAAATATTTAGCAAAATCGAGCTTTCTTCAGCTGAAGCAAGTCTAAGACTTAGACTTAGAATTCTAAACATGACCAAAGAAATTTTCTAAAGAAGGGTCCCGAACCGAAACGTCAACTTTCCTGCTCCTCTGATGCCGCTTGGCCTGCTGTGTTCCTCCAGCTTCACGCTGTATTATCTCTGACTCCAGTATCGGCAGTTCTTACAATCTCCGAAGAAATCTGAAGTTCTTTGCAGGCCACAAAACCATCCGGTGCTGAAGAGATCCTAAAATATTATGAAGATGTTTTTCCAGGTCGCAGATGTTGTCCTGGTGAATATCATGTCAAAGTAGATGAGAGTGAGAAACTGACCCAGCGTCTGGTGAGGAGAGTTCCAGCTGTCCTCAAGTCCAGCTTGAGAGACAAGAGAGAGGAGCTAGAAATAACAACACCTACAGACCAGATTATCAGAAAGGCAGCGGTGAAGATATCTGGAAAGCTGAGAGCATCCATGGACCCAAAGGATCACAGTAAAAGTTTGAAGAGATCTCACTGTCGCATGCCAACCATAGAAGGAAATGTTGCCTCAACTTGCCAAGGCAAAGGACTTCATTAGAAACTGATGTGAAGGATGGTTACTGGCAAATGGAGTTATTTTCTAGGTAGTTTTCTAACTACACTTTAGATGCTATTTGGATGTTGCAGCTGGTTGTGTATGCTGTTTGGCATTTCCACAGCTTGAGAAGAGTATCAACACACCGAGCATGAGATAGTCGGTGACCTTCCACGAGTTGCGGCAATAGTGGATGATCTGCTAGTCCACAGATTTGGAGACACACCAATGGAAGAAACCATTGCTGATCATGATCAGAATCTGATACGACTGCCAGAGAAGTCTCGCAAGATGAGCAAGTAAAAAATGTGATTGCAAATCCCTGAAGTCAAGTACATTGATCTTGTACTGACCTCAGAGGACTTCATCTCGAACCTGACATGGTGGGAGCTATAACAGTGATCAACAATGTGAAGGCAGTCTCATGTTTTGTTGGATTCCTGAACTATCAGGCACATTTCTTTCCAAATTTGTCATCAGAATACAATGGAAGCTTGCTTCTAGGATCTACTGGAGCCCAGACACAAAGAATTTTCACATTTGACTTGAAGTCAAACTGCTGTGGTACTGCAACATCAATGAAGAAGTTACTTTGCACTGTGATGCCAACTTTATGCAGCAAGACCAATTAGTTACATTTACATCCAAGGTACAAATGCAAACAGAACAACGTTACACTCAGATTAAGAAAGGATGCCTGGTGATTGTCCTGTCTTGTGAACAGTTTAATTGATGCCAGTTTGAGAGGGACAAAGTGACAGTGATGTCATTTCACAACATTTTTTTCTCAAACTGCTTCTATCAGCTTCCAAGTGTCTGCCAAGAATGTTACTACATATAGAGATAGCATCTGGACGTGACATACAAGTAGGGAAACAGATGTACATTGAGGACATACTGTTGAGAACAGGGCACTGTATGAAGAAAGCTGAGTGAAATAACTCCACAGAAGCTGGTATCTCATCACTAAGTCACCCTTTATTTACACTTGAAGAGTTCTTGACATTGATTTAGGTCCCTCAGAGCCAGCTGTCAAAGTGAACAGAATCTCTGACACTCCTGTTTATATCGGTCAGCCAGGGCTCCCTGATTGGACCAGATTAACAGCCCCAGTCAGGGAACTGATATTCTACAAGGTCCACCTGACTGACCTTATTACAATCACTGCACTGAGGATGCTCAGACAGAGCGTGAATCTTCCAGATTTAACAAGAAGCAACAGTTCGATATCCTCTGGAAGTCATCAACCCAAAATCTGCACTGTTTAAATACTGTCTGTGCAGAGACCGACAGAAGTGGAATGGCTAGAGTTAATACTGTGGATTCTAATGATTGATCATTTACCTTCGGACCATGTGTATCGGGTAACATGCATAACATGGAACTGCAAATGATAGTGCACGTTACTTTT